AGAGACGCCGTTCCCGCGCGTATCGATTGACTGGGGCGCGCTTTCCATCTTAGAAAGCTAGGCTGCTGATGCGATTTTGGGCTCTAACAAAGACAAGAGGAGGAGTTTCGGAACCAAAATCTCACCATATAGTAAACTTTAGGTGAACAACAGATTTATGTAAAAATTTTGAAAAAAATTATGTGAATTGAAAGTCTCGCCCAACTCAGATGGGCATTAGGTGGGCAATTGACCACCTAATTTGGAAAAAAGTTAAGCACTCTCTTCATTCACATGAGTTTTTCATAATTTCTCATACATTGTCCTTAGTCCTACTGCGCGTATACACACCAAATCTCGCGCGAATTCGTTTTCTCTGCGCTGCAAACGAGCCATTTTTCCATTTTTCTTGATGGAAATTTTCAGAAAAAAGCTTGCCACAACCTTCGTTCACATAACTTTTCAATGAAACTTCTAAGATAAGCCCTGCAGGCCCGTGTTCATGTACCTACCAATTTTCATACCGTATGGTCATCTGTGCGCTGCAAACGAACCATTTTGATTCACATCTTCATTTACCAGCTACGAAATTTTTGGAAAAAATGCTTACTACACCTCCCAAAGTGTTTCATAACATTTCACGCTTTGTTTCCACTGGCCTCTCTTTGTTCGCTTACGTAATTTGGTGCTATATCATTACCTGCATTGAGAACTGATCATGTAATCATGGCTGTTGGCTGTAGCTGTTCAACGGCATCGCTATGCGTCGCGCAAGCGGCAATTAGCGGCAACGCGGCGCGCGAAGTCTGCTTGCGTTGAGGTTTATGAAAACTATTTTTCGATGAATTAGATGTATGAGGTAAGCATGATTCAACCTTCTTTTGCTTGCACTTGGAATCTTCTTCCGGGGCTCCGCCCCGGATCCCGCAAAAACGATATCCCCTTTGCTTTTTGGCCCCAAAACGATTTCCAGCTTGTCATTTGCCCACCTCGTGCCGGGCCCTGTTTCGAATCACCACCGTTCCATAATTTGTGTTTGGACATCATTTCACCTCTTTCCCAATTTAACTGGAATTCATAGCCATCCATCGACTACCTTCCTCTACTGTTTGAGGATTGTGAAACTATAGCAAGTGCTTCAGCAGATTTCTGCGCCCTTACTTCTAAATTAATCCTTCTTGGCGATTTTAACATAGATGTGATTTTTCCTCTAAAGCAAGACTGTCCTTAGTGCTTTCCTAAGCTGTGACTTCATTCAGAATGTATTCATATTAAACAGAGGTGGGAGTGTTATTAACTCAGTATCTTCTACTCCTGACATCGTCATAAATTCACCACTTCCTCCTTTTGTTACTCTGATCACAAAGTAATTAATTTTGACACCAATTTTCCATTTGTCGGTGTTGTCGGTGTTGTCAATGTTGTCGGTGTTGTCGGAGTTGTCGGGGTCAGAGACAGTTTAGAGAGCGCGCGAAACGTGGAGGCTATCATGAGGTCCTACAACGACCGGCAATCGACAACACCGACAACACCGACAACATCGACAACACCGACAACACCGACAACCTATGGCCGTTCCCTAACATGGCAATTGGTCAGGAATAGAGCTTATGATTGCTTGCCTCCATGCTTTGGGGTTTATCCATTTGGAAAAGAGGAGACTGTATGGTTATCATAATACATTATAGCATGTTTATCGTGTGGCGACACGCGTACATAGGCGAAGCTGGGAGCTCCTTTGCTGCTCCGTCAAGGAACACTTGGATGGACTGAACAAGTCAAATGCCAGCACACCGCTGGGTAGTCATTGGTTACATCATGACACTAGCTGGCTTACCCGGCTCCGCCGTATCCGGACCAAACTTGGCACACATACACTTCGGGCCCCGGCGGGAGTCACAGTCCACTTTTCGTTATCGATCGATGTCGATTTTACCGATTTTTATCGATTTTTTGCAGAGTTCACCTACAGGGCTAGGAGTTGGCACAGGGGGGAAGTGAGCATGGGGATTCCGAATACAATATTAGTTTTCAGAATTATCGATTGCTTTTATTGATTTTATCGATTTTTTTGCAAAGTTTGACCTGCGGGGCTGGGAGTTTGCACAGAGGGTAATCGAGCATGCAGATTACGAATACAATATTAGTTTTCAAGATCGTCCATTACTTTTATCGATTTTATCGATTTTTTGAAAATTTGAGCTAGGGGGCTGGAATTTGGCACAGGGGTGTTCGAGCATGCTGATCACCCCCCTTGGGGATGATCAGCATGCTCGATTACCCCCCTGTGCCAACTCCCAGCGCCCTAGCTCAAACTTTGCAAAAAAATCGATAAAATCGATAAAAGTAATCGATAATCCTGAAAACCAATATTGTATTCGGAATCCCCATGCTCGATTACCCCCCTGTGCGAACTCCCAGCCCCGTAGCTCAAACTTTGCAAAAAAATCGATAAAATCGATAAAAGTAATCGATAATCCTGAAAACCAATATTGTATTCGGAATCCCCATGCTCGATTACCCCCCTGTGCCAACTCCCAGCCCCGTAGCTCAAACTTTGCAAAAAAATCGATAAAATCGATAAAAGTAATCGATAATCCTGAAAACCAATATTGTATTCGGAATCCCCATGCTCGATTACCCCCCTGTGCCAACTCCCAGCCCCGTAGCTCAAACTTTGCAAAAAAATCGATAAAATCGATAAAAGTAATCGATAATCCTGAAAACCAATATTGTATTCGGAATCCCCATGCTCGATTACCCCCCTGTGCCAACTCCCAGCCCCGTAGGTGAACTCAGCAAAAAAATCGATAAAAATCGATAAAATCGATATCGATCGATGACGAAAAGTAGCCTATGACACCCGCCGGGGCCCAAAGTGTATGTGTGCCAAGTTTGGTCCGGATCGGTTCAGAAATGGAATTTTCTATTCGGAACATACGTACATACATACAGACAGACAGACAAACAGACATTCAGCTTTATATATAAGATAAGTTGGGGTCTCAATTCTGTCCTACGAACCCGAAGTCCTAGCCAGCAAATTTTGAAGTGGATCAGCGCTAAGAATCCAAAAATGAACCGAAAGAGGAGTGCATTGCGATAATTAACGAACTCGGGCCATAACATTGCGAGTTCTGAGGCGAGGTCAGGACATCTGAACATTACAAATAGGGCAGATGTGTAGTTTTTGCATAGTTCGTGATCCCTTGTGCCTGAGTATGGTGAGTATTTGTTGTATGGTTGTATGTGTTTTTTCTTTGTATTGTATTGGGTTTTTAAGGTGAGTAATGGTTAGTTGTGGCTTTGGTACTGTCAACTGCTAAATTTTGAATTGAAAGTCTTTTGCTTTTTAAGCTTGGAGTCTTAGTGGAAAGATGGAAAAATGTATTCAACTTTGTAAACTTTGACGAAGGCGATGCGGCGAAAAACGTTGGCCGAACTTGATGGAAGTTACCTTGTCATTGCACAACAACACACACGCGATTCACATCAATGCCAAGATCAAAGAACAATAGAAGTTCGAGATACTTTCACGGGGATTTTTTCAAAGATGTTTCCAAGATGGAGTATGCGAACTTGTGCTATGCTTTCGTATTCCGAGTTTGAAAACTAATCCAAAAAGTTAGTAAATATTAGATTTTCAGATTGCATAGTGACCAAAGGTAGGTTTGGTTTGCATTACCGTTGATTGTAAAAAACCATTAATGACTTTCATTTTTTTATCTGTCCAACACTGGATGGTTTGCTGCACTACCGATTCAGTCATATCCAGTGAAAAGTCGAATAAAGTTGCAAAGTGTGAATTTTTCAGCTTCGTGATAGCTGATTTTTAAATGACGTTTATCACAGCTTGACAAAAAATGCTAGGCGAAAAAATCCTCAATGAAACAATTTATGCAATAGTAATTGGTAGAGCGGAAAATGAGTGTTTATCAAAAAGCAATGGGTAATTACGTGTGAAACCTCAATTTTATTCAATTTTGCAAAAAAAGAATGTCGCTTTTTAATTCCTTTTCATGACATCACCACAAGGCAAACCCCAAGCATGTATATGGGGTCTCTATCCTAGACATCGAAGAACTGAAAATTTCCATGCTTTCGCCAAAGTGATGCTAGGCTGTTACCGCGTAACTAGTTTTATACCATGCTTTGGAAGTACAACAGTAGATTTTCAGCCTTCTACAAGAGTTAGTTCTTGAGAAATATCGAATTTAGTTTTCTTTTTCTGTTCTTGAATTTGAATACCTTTTTTTCAGGTCTATAAGCCGCGAGGTGGTCCTAGCTTACATCGAACAGCCCGAACACATCAAAGGACCTCGCAACCAAAGGGCCTTACACCGTGCTGCGTATTGCCTAAAGGAATCGTGCGGTATAAGGATCGCTTCTCGAAACACAATGAAGCGGCTGAGCAGCTCGTGGGAAAATTTGAAAAAGTGCGGCTTATACATCTAAAAATAGGGTAGATATTTCTCAAAAAATAACTCTTGTAGAAAGCTCAAAATCTAATGTTGTCTTCCCAAGCTAAGTAGTACGAGTTACTTACGCAGGAACAGCTCAGCATTACTTTGGCGAAAGCACGAAAAATTTTGTCCCGATTTCTAGCATGTAAAATTACACAAACTGCGCACGTGAATGTTTGATGAGAATTGTATGTCCGAGAACAAGTTGGGTGTCTGCAAAAATTTGTTGAACTACGATTTTTTGTAATTTTTCGGTCATTTGAAACTTTTTAGATTTCGAACTTCAAACATGGTGCAAAAGCAGTAGTGCCATTTTGCGGAGCTTTGCTCTATCGAACAATGTCCATATACGTTATTGGGATTGCCTTACTGCAGTATCGTGACGAGGAAATAATGAAACGACATTCTTTTCTTTCCAACCTAATAGTGCCTTAGAGGCTATTTATGAAAGAGATGGGAAGCATCGTTCTTTCTCTAAAAACTAAAAAAGACATTTTTCTATTGACGACAAACACGCTTATCTATATCATCAAGTTGATCCCAATATCAATGACATACCTATTTAGACATTTCTCCTTTTGTTCTCCGTATGCTCCCGCAGCCATATTTAACAGTTTTCTGGCTGTCAACTCATCATAATTAGTCCTTTTTGCAAGGAGTTGTGCAAATGTGAGTGTTAAGCAGAATAATTTGTACACAAGCTGCATCCGAATGTGGTAACCTTAAAAGGTCCCTATAAAAAATAAGAACGCCACATAGAAAAAGCGAATGCTAGAAAGTAAGTACGTATGAATAAATGAATGAAGCTATCTAACCTGAACAACCATGTGTTTTTTGACAACATAAGTGCTCGAAATATGTGCTCAGGCAAATGACACAGAATACAGTTACTTAGTGTCAATCTTCATAGTAATGGAAAGAATAAAAGAAAAAAGATATGAGAGGGAATGGGTTAGTTTTATAGCGTTATCACTTTCCCTTGTCATCGTAAGAAAATTGCTCATTAGCACAACAATTATGTATTAGGTCAGTTCATAGGTTTGTAGAATTTTCATTATTGTCCTCATTTTTTTTGAAGAGCTGTGGCAAGATGTGCGCATCTTTAAACAAGCCCTTTCAGGTGAACATACTTGGGTCCGAAGCGAAAAGAAATTCGATCATTCGAACAAAACATTCGAATACATTCGCATTCAATATTCAATAATCGGAGTTTTTCCATTTTCGAATGAAATTCGAAACTCGCATAATCAAAAAACAGAGTTTCGAATAAAATTCGAAAACTCGAATAATCAAAAAACGGGTTTTAAAATAGATTTTATTCGAATCTTTTATTCGAATGTTTATTCAAATTCGTATTCGAATGAACTCCGTACTCAAATTATTCGAGTTTGTTGCAGAGCCAAATGCTGAGTATCAAACTCACTTCCTTTGCGTTTTTTTCGCGAAACTCGGCATCGCATTCCTCCGACTGCTTGCGACAAAAAATAGCTTTTTCGATCAATGAGATAGTTCGCACTGCCAATGGCACTAAATCAGCAAAAAACAGCTATCCAATTCAAGTTCATGTTCCGAGTTCATATACTGGATTTGTGGTGACATGCCTGTTCTTCCTTTGCATTGCTTATGCTTTTGACGCATAGGCCCAAAATAGTGAGCAGTCTTGCTTGTAAAACTCATGCTGCGCAACTGCCTCTATTCATTACCTTAGAGATTTTTCGTGAATTAGTGTATTTTGAGTAAAGAACATCGCAGCTGTAGTGGAGGATTAGAGGGTTGTTGAATTTTGCAATTATATCACCCTGTAATAAAGTTTTGTTCAGTAGATAGTACATGATAGTTCTGTTCAAGATTTTCACAGAGGCTTGCGGGCACTTCAGCACCGGGAGCTATCAGCCTATCAATTATGGTAAAGGCTAAAGCCGGATGAAGTAGATCCACATTGAGAAATGCGAGCTTTGATTATGTCAAGCCCCGCACATACTTGACGTGACAGTCGGTACGCAATCTGCCAGTTACAAGATGTCTTCAAATGTAACGCCAGCTAACCACAATGTATAGCGTGTACAAATTTCTAAATGGACAATTATCCTGCTTTCTGTACTTTCAGAATCCGCTTACGATGAGTTGTGGACAATTTGACCATTGCCAAATCATGTCGCTACTAAAATGCCTGCAGTATGCTCGTGGCTGTAGGGGCATTCGTGTTTGATTCGCGGAATAATATGCCTTCGCCCACGATTAACTTATACTACACAAGGCGAAATTCTCCTATATACAGGCGTGTATCATAGCATTTGTGGCATATAACATAATACATTTATGACCACGGTTACTGCTCCAAAAGATCGCACACTTAGCGCTATGAATTCGAAAGGCTCCTTCAGCAGAAATAGTTAGATGCTTACATCGAGTTGCAAAGTTTCTCTTTCGAATTCAGCTCCATCCAAATTTTGAGCTGCGGGCTGGGAGTTGGAACGAAGAGGGGGGAAAGGGGAGGGGGATAAGTGAGAGTGCTATCGATTTTTGGAGAACTTTGAGCTAATGAACTGGTACAAGGGAGTAAGGGAGGGTGGGTGATGAATATGAATGGATCGGCTTTAGCCGAATATGTCAGCAAGTTTCAGATCTATTTGCTCTAGTTTCGATAAATCATTCGAATATTTATTCGAAATTCGACTCCAATGTTCGAATATAATCGATGTTCATTCATTCGAAATTTTTGATTTTCCGATTTTAATCGCGATTCGTTCATTCGAGAATTTTTGAATCTCGAATTTTTCGATACTAGCTGGCTTACCCGGCTCCGCCGTATGTTCCGAATAGAAAATTCCATTTCTTAACCGATTCGAACCAAACTTGGCACACATACACTTCGGGCCCCGGCGGGTGTCACAGTCCACTTTTCGTTATCGATTGATGTCGATTTTATCGATTTTTTGCAAAATTTGAGCTAGGGGGCTGGGATTTGGCACAGGGGGTAATCGAGCATGCTCTCAGACAATTGCTGGGGGCAGGCGGGCACCGGAAAAATAGATTGCTGATTTTTCGCACCTCGCTCGCGGATTTTTTGCAAAGCAATCAGGACTTTTCGGAAGACCAGTTGCTGAGTCAGCGGATTTTTGAGAGACCGCCTGTTGAATTTTTTTTTTGCTCTTATCTTTTACAGATATATTGCTGAATATCTGAGGAATCGAGAACTAAGCAAGCGGTCTTCCGAAAAGTCCTGATTGCTTTCCAAAAAATCCGCGAGCGGGGTGCGAGAGATCAGCAATCTATTTTTCCGGTGCCCGCCTGCCCCCGGCGATTGTCTGAGCTGATTACGAATACAATATTATTCGATATTATTCGAATACAATAATACCCTCCCCTCCCCGCGGGGATGTACGTGCATACGGGCCTTAGTTTACTCCTGAAAATGGCTACTATCTGCAGTAGTGGTATCAACAGGGAGACGCGAAAGCCACCTAGCTCCCCTACAAAATACGTTATTGAACATCAGTAGGTATTTTCTGCGTCGGATCCTTGGATATTGTAGGATGAAGGAACCAGGCCTTCCACTGGTAGGAACAAAAATCCAGTACTTGCTGACTCTTAGTTTTCTCTTTCCTCAGAACTTGAAAGCAGAATACAAAATCCGAAAATATCCGCCGATGTGTTAAAGACTCCATATGAAGCTTCTTAAGGCGGGCTTGGCATTCAGGAGGGGTCATTCTGGGTGATAACGTGTATACAGCAGCCTCGTAAAAAGCTGTTGAACCTTTTCTACTCTACGCATATTTTTCTACGGAAGGGAGACCAAATCTGAGAACACTATTAACGTTATTCCAGGTGAGGGAACACAAACGCTTTAGAGAGCGATACAAGTACCCTTGGGGAGCTGGTACTAGTATTGCAAAAAAGCACGAAAAGTGAAGAATATGCTTTCTTGATTGTCATATCGACGTGCTTAGTGAAGCTAAGGTTTGTATCAATCAGGATGCTCAGATCTTCAACAGCATCACATCCTTTCAACGTAGTGCCTTTGATGTGATAGGAGATTGCAGAACCACCTCCAAGATGAAGCGTTGAGCATTTGTCAAGGTTCAACGCTAGATCCCAGCTATCACAACATTTAATGGACTTGTCAAGAGAACTTTGCAATGCCAGCAACTTCTGGAGCTTTCTCTTCATCATATGCTCCATAAATTTTTATATCATTAGCATACATTTTTACTTGTATGCTAGGGAAATGTCGTTTTTTTAGAAAATGAGAAATCGAAGTAAACAGATTTTTTATCATATCAATAAGTTCACCTGTATACTTGGGTGAATACGAAATTTTCATCGAATGATTGAATATCGAATAAATTCGAGATTCAAAAATTCTCGAATGAACGAATCCCGATTAAATCGGAAAATCAAAAATTTCGAATGAATGAACATCGATTATATTCGAACATTGGAGTCAAATTTCGAATAAATATTCAAATGATTTATCGAAACTAGAGCAAATAGATCTGAAACTTGCTGACATATTCGGCTAAAGCCGATCCATTCATATTCATCACCCACCCTCCCTTACTCCCTTGTACCAGTTCAACTCCTTAGCTCAAAGTTCTCCAAAATCGATAGCACTCTCACTTATCCCCCCCCCCCCTTTCCCCCCTCTTCGTACCAACTCCCAGCCCGCAGCTCTGACGATTAGGAGCCGAACACCAAGAATAAGCCATTTAGCCGAATACAAAGTTTTCGGATTGGTTATCACACAATTGACATGCTCTATCGTTTATGGCAAGAAGTGCGCGCGATTTGAAAGCAAGGCTAAAATAAACAAATTGCTTGTTTACAGCGTACACAAAATCGTATGACACCAAAACTAAAGTGTATACAGAAAATTACTTGCAAAATAATTGTGCAAAAAGATTCGAAAACTTGTGTGAAGTATTACTTTTTCCAAAATTAGTCCGTCTCCAGACGGTCACGAGACGATCTGAGATCGTCTGGAGCATATATTTCTGTCACTTCACATTAGTTTTGGATTTTTCTGCCCTGGACGGATTCTCCGGTCAAAAATCTATCAATCTATCCCTGAGCATGAAAACATTTTCATGTCATTGCCTTTCCTTTTTTTGCTTTAATTCTTCTTAAACCACTTTGTTAAATATAGCGCTCCAATGCCAAACTCTTGTGCATGTGTATCGTCGAGTCATTCGTAACTTAATATGCGTAGTTCACACTTTACACGTTAAGTGACGAACAGCCAAACTAGAACCTGCTCATTTCCAGTGATTTCTCCTTGTTTTCTTGTCTCTCTTGTTTTAGTTGGTTATACGATAATCAGTAGAACGCATTTCTACATTTTGTTAGGCTAGAAGATGTTTTACTTGGAAGTCACTAGTGCGGGTGCCGTCGCTAATAGAGCTTGATGTGCAACCTCACATATTAAGTTACAAATGACTCGAGGTTAGTATTCAGCTCCCATTTGGATTTCCACTCTTATCTCACGTCTTTTTCAGACTAGTGAAATCTCTCTCGTTTTCATCTTCTCCTCAGTAGGTAGGTCAAAGGAGACTTCGTAAAACTTCAAAAAGTCGGGGGGACTTCGTTTTCAAAAACCCTAGAAACCGACTCGTGCCGGCCCTGGAAGGCATGATTAGCTATAACAAAAACAATAAATGGCAAAGCACTTGCTCAGACGACATACCAAGCGACTTCTAAAACGCAATTG